ATAGATAGATAGATAGATAGATAGATAGATAGATAGATAGATAGATAGATAGATAATTGAACGTAAAAGCAACATCAAAGCAGCCCATCTGTTTTTAATGTGTTTTTACACCTCCATCGACACAAAAGGTCATCTAGTAGGTGACTTTCCAACCTTGCCCATCAGGGATAATTTAACCCATGATGAGAGGGATACAACATCCCAGCAGAAAGACCGAGGTTCTTGATAAAAAAAAGTCTCTCAACTCAGGAATCGAACTCGAGACGCCTGTGTGCGACAGCGAAGCGCCTGATCAGACGTTGGTCGCCCACCTTCTAAAAGATCTAAACTACAGACGTAGCAATAGGGAATAAGGCGTACAAGAAAGATTATTCTATTTCCAAGATAACAGAGTGAGGGGACTGTCCTCTTAGATGAAAGACAAAACTCCGCTCCACTCTGTCCTTGTTACAAAAATGAATTTCAGATTGAGTTGTCTCATACATAATGCATCAGTGCATAATGGTACCGGGGTCTCAGGTCAGATGACGGCAGCCGAGCAAGATTTGTTAATTCTAATGAAAACAGAGCCAAGGGTTGTTAATCAATAGAGTAACATCACTATTGTTGGTTGGTCTGTCGTGAGTACTGCTCGATAAGTAGGCTTCATGAGAAATACTTGAATTACCTTCCAATTAGATGCCAGGAAGCTTAACATTTCTGAATCTGCTGCATGTAGAGTTGATATGGGTGAGCCCCCCCCCCCCCTTTTTTTTCTACAGGCCTATATTATAGACCTACAAACGCATGTCTATCAGTATCACAGACGGACGAACACTTTCTTCGATTGTCTTGTCATTATTTACTTACAGTTTTTCTTTGAAGTTTTAACTCAATTTTGAAACTGATGAACAAGGACTTATACTCTTCCCTGGTTTTTCATAAATGTGTTGTATATAATCAAGTTCTGATTTTGAAAACAAAATGTGATAGCATGTTCGTTGACTTTTTCTAAAAAGAGCCTTTTAAAAAGACTGAATGGGCCATTGGGTTTTAATTACTTTTGCACCGCCCGCAATCTGAACGCGCCCTTCCTCGCAACTCCTTCACAACGATTAACCAAAAGCAATCCCCGTAACTCGTCCGGGCCCCACCCCCGCATCTCCCCCACTTTCCCCTGAGTTCCCTGCCCTTGCCCGCCAAACGAGTTGTATTTTGTCTGTGCTTCGCGCTGTCTAAAAATATAATGTCCTCTCATCGCCCCGAGCGGCCTGTGTTCGCTTCTTCTTACTGACTGTGTAAGAAGTCCGTGGATCGAGAGGGGCTAAAGGGGCGCCCTCCCCTGGCTGACATAGAGCACAGACCTACTTTCAGTGCACGCCCTCCTCTGTGTCGTCCAAGTGTGTGTAGTTCACACATGTACGTTTCACGGAATATTTCTCGCACTGTTGGATACCGTGTATTATCTTGACGTCTCTAAATAACGCCCGCTGTTGCTGTAACGGGGTGTAGTGTTGTAGTGTGTTGTGTGTTTGGAGACGAACTGGAATGTCTAAGGTGGTGACCTTCGACCTCATCCTGCTCTTTTACTGCTGTTTAAATGTTTAAGTTCACTGACTGCGAGGAAAGATACGAAGCGTCGTTTGCTGTCAGGACATTGCTGCTCCTATTCAAGGATATGCTATTGCCACTGTATACTGTATGTTTTGAAAAAAAGTTCTGCTACTAAATCTAATGATGAACTGATGATAACATTATTGCATCAACGGAGAACTGAATAGTCTAGCTATCTTCTGACATTTCTTAACTCAACAAGTGGATAGATTCTGACACAGCGGTTTGACTGAGGTAAGCATTATATCCCACAGGGCCGTTGACTTTGTCCTCGTGTTACACTCGCTGTTTGTCATGCCTCTCCCAAGCACCCCTCTCGTCTCTTCTTTCTTTCTTTCATTTGTTCTTTTTTCCTTTCCTTCTCTCTTTCTTTTTTCTTTTTTTTTCTTTCTTTTTTTCTGTCAATTCTTTCTTTTTTCTCTTCTTTTTCTCTCTCTCCCACACACGTATTATTCTTTCTCAACTCTTCTTCTTCTCTCTCTCTCTCTGTTCCCTTTCTCTGTCTGTGTGTGTCGCTCTGTCTGTCTGACTATCTGTCTGTCTGTCTGTCTGTCTCTTTCTCTCTCTTTCTCTCTCTCTATCTCTCTCTCTCTCTCTCACACAC